ACCTCTGCTAATTCCCTCAGCACTCTGGGGTGGAGATCATCAGGACCTGCTGATTTGAACACATCTAGTCCCTCCAGAAGTTCCCTGACTACGTCCTTACTGACCCTGAGCCTGGCTGCACCTCCTCTATGTCCATCTGGGATCTCAGTGGGGGGATGTCCCAGTCCTTGCTCAGAAAAATGGAGGCAAAGAATTTGTTAAAGAGGTTAGCTTTGTCATCTAGTGTGACTACCAATTTCCAAGTGTGTCCTGCAGAGGCCCCACATTACCCGGTACCTTCTTTTTACCCCCTATGTATTTAAAAAAGGACTTCTTGTTAACTTTGATCTGGGTCGCTACTCCCAATTCTGTCTCTGCATTAGCCTGCCTAACAGCCCCCCTACAATCACAAGCCAAGGAGGTATAATCCTCCTTGGTGATGGCCCCTCCCTTCCATTGGGTGTACACCTCCTTCTTAGCTTTGAGACATTCCTGGGTGCTTTTGGTGAGCCATGGGGGCCTTTGAGCACTCTTGCCCCCTTTGATCTGCATTGGGACTGTCACCCTTTGGGCTTGGAGGATCATCCTTAAGGAACGACCACTCTTCTTGGACTCCCAACTCCCCTCCCCTCCAGAACCTCGGTGCCTCCCCAACTAGTCTCCTTACTTCATTGAAATCCGTCCTCCTGAAGCCCAAGGCTGCTGCGCTGGATAGTGAATTCCAGTAGGCAATGATCACTATCGACCAGGTGGTAGAGAATCTGCAGTCCCCTCACCAGGTCATTGCCTGTGGCCAGGACCAGGTCCAACAAGGCATTTCCCCTGGTGGGACTTTGTACCTCCTGGGTTAGGTGGAGGTCCTGTAAGTCGGCTAGAAACCTATGTGAGCAGTCAGACCTGGCTGACTGGTCTCCCCAGCAGATGGAAGCACTGAATTGCTTCAGAACCCTCTGAATTGATTTGGAGATATTTGGAAAGGTCAGAGAGACAGGTTTAAATGTTTTTTCTACATACCTCTAGGTAGCAGGGGCTCATGAGTCCTGTGATGCTGGGACACATGGAGTGTCTCACAGGAGCACAGGGGACTCCCCAACGCACTCAGCAGCAGACCTGGAAGTGGACCAGAAGCACTTCCAGTCCAATTCTGGGTCCACCAGGGAGCACGTGAAGGGGACACCCCATGCCCCCCTGTCTCAGTGACCGATTCCTCCTGGGTCTGGGGAAGGCACCTGGGGTCCCCCTATGGCTGATTGCCAAGGTGGGGGGGGGGGGCCTGCGCACTCCCCAGCAGACCCAGAAGTGGACCAGAAGTACTTCTGGCCCACTTCTGTGTTCACTGCCAAACACATGGAGGGCCCCCCATAGTCCTGTGGGATGCTCCAGGCACCCCAGCATCGCAGTGTTCACAAGCTGTGCCTGCTACCTCAAGTTATGTAGAAAAAACTTTAAAGCTGTGTCTATGGCCGAATTTCTGATTCTCCAAATCAGCATCAAATCTTCAGATTCAGCCAAATCAAATCAGGGACAGTGATCCAAATCAATAAATCGAATCACTGCCCCTGATTTGGGCCAAATCCAAATCTGAATCGAATAGGGCCCACTTCGCACATCCCCAGAATGAGTATGTAAGTGAAAGTTATGACAACTGAGGTGGAAGCATAAAACAAAACACTTAATGTACTCGGGTCAGAAGGACTCAATAATCTCTATACCAAAGTTCTGAAAAAACTGATATATAAAATCATAGGTCCAGTAGCAAGCATCTTTAAGAAATCCAATAAATAGTGGTTGGTCTATATAACTGGAAAAACCTAAATGTCATGCTTATATTTCAGAAAGTGAAAAAAATGGTCTGGTCAGCTACAAGACCATTAATCTCACCTCAATAAGATGTGGTACTTTTACTTTTTTTTTTTTTAAAGAAAATAATTACTAAAGACATGCAGGTAATTAAAAAGACTAGCACTGAAAGAGGAAACACCACACAGCAAGGGGATTAATACACAGTTCTTCAACGATTGTAATGAGACTGAACTTATTTAACATTTACTTTGGCAGAAGAATTTAAGAGTAATATAATGTAATGAACTTGCTGATTCAGGGCATTCAGGGTATTCCCAAAAGAAGAACAAAAAAAAGTCATAGAATCATAGAAAATTAAGGTTGGAAAGGACCTCAGGAAGTTTCAATCAATAGTGAAGCTGCTCAAGCTTACATAAAATCAAACTGGTAAGTACTTCAGTGCCACTACCATGAAATTAGCTCTCCAGGCCCAATTCTGCATCCCTTTGCCTCTTGAAAAATGGTAACAGCTAGAAGTAGTCTTTCTCTTCGAAAACCTAGCCTCAGATCTTCAAGTACCAGAAAGGCATTCTCAGTCTTCAAGATTATGACTCTGCATGGCAGCCATATTCATCTAAAACAATGGATGTCAATCTCAGGAATAGGACTATGCATGAGACCAAGATTTCTTGGTGCAGGTCCAGGGCTGTGGGACCTGCTCATGGAGCTTATTAGAATCATTATGAACTTCAATTTCTGCAGAACAAAATATAAAACAGTCCTTTGGCCTAGGCTTCACACAACAAGACACAAAGAAGAATTCAAAGCAAGTAAAGTAAACTTCTGCATCGACCTTGAGAGCTGTGAAGAGAGAAAACAATGGCTGCTTTGCGAAGACTTCTAAAATTTTTAAGGCACTTGGATACAACAGTAAAAAGTGTAGTACAAGTTCAAAGCTAGATTGCATTAGATAGCTATTTTTCAGTGTCTCACTCTTCAAACATCACTATTATAGCATCAGTCACATTCAGTTCATATTTTAGAGGTTTTTTTCTCTGCAAAAATAAAGGCATTTATACATGTGCTCTGAGAGTGGGGGGAAGGAACAACTTTAATTAGAGCGGCTCTAAGAGTCTCTTTATTAAAACATCTGGAGCATCTCATGTACCAGCATTCTTGCATTTAAAAATGACAGCAGGGTTGCTTTAACTAAAGCTAGTTTGACAAGCTTTAAAGCACTCCTGCCGCCATTTTTACACATAGGGATACTGGTCCATGAGATGCTGGTGTCTGCTGGAGCACAGTAATTACCACGCTCCAGCAGACTCAGTTAATTGAGCCTGCTCTGACACACTGCAATTAGAGTGCATTGGAGCAGTCTCGACGCTCATTTATAGGTGCCTTAAGGGCTTGAATATTTTAATATATATAATCTTACATTTTGATTAAACTGCTGAGGATAAAGAAGGAAAACTTCAGGGACCTTTCAAAGCTTTGGGTTGAGCTGGACATCTAAAATATAAGAATCTTTATTCAAACCATGTCCAACCAACCAAGACTTGGAAATTCAATCACTACATTATTTTCTTCTAGAAGAATTCACATACCTTCTGTTATTCTCCTCTACCACAAAAACAAGCATTATTCAAACTTTGTTATATTTCTCTTGCTATGCTTACACTTTATGGGTACATTGCAAACATGACATCTCTCCAGGTTACAGATTAAAATGATGATTGGGAGAAAAGCTCAGAGACATAACCTTGAATATTTTTAGAATTTTATTGTAGAATTCTTATGTACATCACTTTCTCAGTGTGACTTTGCGTATGAGCTTCAAGCTGTGTTATGACTGAGCCTCAGAAAAAGGTGAAAAAATATCTGCTGACTGTTAACATTTGCTTGACTGACAACAGATGTTCATGACAGTTAATTTTTTTAAGTGTTTACCATCTCTTCTCTCAGTCTATCTTATAGAGAAGAAAGTTATATTCTGATGGATTCATGATGGATGCAGCATTTCTCCATGTTCATGGAAGTGAATCCTCAACATACATTTTCCCAATGTGATATTAATGTAACAGTGGGTTCACACACAGAATTATTATAGTGCCAGGAATAATCAAAGGAAGCATCATTCAAGTCAGTGCTTTCTAACTTTACCCCTCCATTGTCTACATCGGAGTAAGGGCTGCAGTCTCCAACAACAAACAAGAAAGTGATTTGTTGTTGTAGCAGGCGCTCGTCCCAGGAGTGGCCATGATGCTCACTCTGCCCTCCTGGCTCCTATCTTCCCCTTGCTCCTGAGTCAGTTGAGACTGCCACCACCCCCGGTCTCAATCCCTAAACCACAAGACCCTACCTCAGCCCTAAGGTTGCCTTCTCTTAACCCCTAGGGGCACAGACTCTCCCTCTGTCTGCTGCTTGCTCAGGAGCTCCTTCCATGTCAATGGCCAAGGTAAGCCTGCCTGTCCCAGCTCTGGCCCTGGGCTTATCTCCTGGTTAAGCCTGCCCCTTTCTGGTCAGGTGCTCCCTGCCAGCTGACTCGGCTCTTTCCAGAGCCTGTTCCTTTCTCAAAGTAACAGGTGCACCCGGCGCCTGTTGCAGTGATTCTCAGACACAGCAGCTCCACTGAGAGTGATCTTCCTATTTACATCCCAGCAGAAACCCTTGCACCTACGGTTGAAGTGTTTTGAGATCTCAAGTTAGAAAACAGCAGCTATTTATAATTCCCAAAACTTCAGCAGTATTTGATGGCAGACAGCCAGTCCCAAAAGCATCACTGACAATAGAGAGTTTCTGAAACCTGAACTTCAGTTTTACAAGAGTCAATTTAGACTTCTGATGCCACCTCCTATTAGTGAGGTTCAGGAGAGTCAGCCAAAAATATTCCCATAGTGCTAGGGAGTACCAAGTTGAGACATATTGCCCAGCATGGCATGTATCAACATGGCTCTCTGGAACCACTTCCAGTCGCCCCAACACAAATTCTGAGTCTCACTTTTGTCACATGCTTCCTGCCAAAAAAGAGCTGGGTGCCTTTCCACCACCAGAGACAATGGAATCTGGGCTATAATTTCAACTCCAAAGTTAAGAAATAATTGGAGAGTAAACCTCTGGTACTATGGGAGGCCAGTAAGTTTCCTCTTAGGTTTGGTAGCTGTGACCAATAAAGAGAGAGACCTCATAAGAATGGGTGTCCTGTCCAGTCAGAACAGTGCAGGTGAATATTTGTGGTACCACCATTCAAGTTATCAACCCATCACTAAATGACTGTAATTTAGAATTTACTCTGTATAGGTCTTGTATCTTCTTATTCCTTATGAACTGGTGATTTTTTCAGAAATTCAAATGGACTAAAATGATTACCCTAAACTCTCTCTGAAACAATGTCTTCCAGCTGTGAACTAAGGACATTTGGCTTTAATATTATTTAAAAAGCAAAACATGTTATTACCATTAAAAATCCCACAAAGATGTATAAACATTGAGGCCACATCTGATCAATTGCACTACAGGCATTCTTGCTTTATTAGACCTGGCAGAAAATAACCCAAAGGAAAATAAATAATAAGTAGAAGCTAACCCCCAGAGTGTGGTTGTGCTGTTGGGGAGTGTATTGGACAGCTAGGAGAAGTCTATTGTCTTTGAAGAAAAGAGACTTGGAAGTGATTTTGTTCAATTTTTTTTTCCTTTTTACAGAAAAGGGGGATTAGGGTCATTGCCCCCACTCTGCAATGGGCATAGAAGAACTGACACTTTCTCAGGGCTCTAGCTGGGATTTTTACTAAGTCATTTTTCTCAAAGTTTTATTAAAACCAAAAGAGTAGCATCTATATAGTTTCTCCAGGCAATGGCTGTATGAACAACTGCCAAGAGACATGAGGTAATTCTATGTTCTACAAATACAGACAATTGGTATGTTCCATGTGCTCTCTGCTAGAACATTTCCCATTGCAAACTGTGGCAGCACAAGAGTGGAGTTTATAAGGGAAACATTTAGATTAATATGGGTTCAATCCTATTGTCATTTAATTCTTTCATTTCAATGAGAGGGGAAGCGGTTAGTCTGTAAATGTAAAAATATATTGTCTGATTGAAGAATAGACAGAATGGTGAGCAATAAAGGAGTATGGGGAGAGGAAGGTGTTGAGGGGGAGCTATTTGTTCTTGTTTAGTGCTTTGAGATAAACATTTGCTTTGCAGCAGGTTACTGGAACATACAAAAACAAATTCTTACTGATACATCAAGCCCTCACTTGTTTTGCCTTAAACATCCTAGGAACGGTTTATTAAAAAACATCAGGCGAGAAGATAAGCAGTGGGTAGCTATGCTGTCAAGACATGAGTCTTGGTTCATGCCATGGCTGTGTTATCATTAAATAAGGACTCTTTTCTCATACTGTTATCAGTCAACCTCTGTAAAAGTCTCCTGCATGTGTATAACACATCAGCATTCTCTTAGCACTTTCCAGTTTTAACACTTCATTTAATTTTCCTAGAACCTTCAATTGTTGCTGAGGGAGACAGAAGTTGGGGATGTTTCTCCTTTCTGTTGCAATCCTTTTGTATATCTTTGCCAGTACAAAAAAGCCCAGTAATCACATATATGGCCAGCTGAGAATTGTCATGTTTAGATAAAAATGTGGAGTAGATACAAAGGCATCTCTACCCTGATAATTCCTTGTCTACAAAGTCAAGGGGCCAAGAAAGGGGACATAGAGAGACTCTCACCCTTGGGTAGATGACCGTTAACTATTCATGTGAATGGGGGATTGCAACACCAAGCCCTAAAGCTCTTTGTGTCATATGCACAATTTCCTAGCCATTTGTAGACAATCATCCATCTTGGTTTGGGCTGATATTGAGTGCTACAGGGATATTGTCCTTCCCCACCTCGCTCAGTGACTTTCCTGCCATGCCTTTGATGAGAGAAAAAAATTGGAATATTAATCCCGAGTGGCCATCATCAGACCTTCTTGTCTGGACTGTTACATGTGCCCTCTGGCCTTAAACCCACTAGCTGGCCCACTTTCTAATTCAGACCTGACTTGGCTAGAGAAGATGTCCCATCGTAAAACAAAGAAGTAGAAAATGTATTTATTGGTCTTCTTTCAAAGGCTTGTCCTTGCTAGCTGGAAAACAAGGCGACTTTTAACCCACCAAACCCCCTCATTTTATAAGGTACTTCCAGGTCGCAGGCCCTTGAAAATATATTAGTATGGTTTTCAGTATTTGTATCCCAACACACTAACTGAGATATGCCTACGCTCTTATCTCAGCCCTCATCCACTTCCAAACACTAGAGGTAGGGACAGTCATTCAAAAATTCTGAACCTGAATTGATTCAATTTTTGCAGGGTAATCTAACCTGGCTAGGCTAAATGAGTTTTGTAACCAGACAGACATCCCAGAAATGCAGGCACATACCTGCAGTGGCTAAGGCTAGAAGCTGGGGGGGCACTAGAGCAGCCCTCCCTGTCTTCCACAGCATGGAGCTGAGTGGAGTGTGGCCAGGCTCAGGCAGGAGCTCTGATTATCCCAGCAGGGAATTGACACAGTGTTTATCACCCAATTAGGAAAACAACAGAGGAACATTACCAGCTACTTGTTGATTCTACCTGTTGATTCAGCATGGATAGTAGCCAGCATGTGGTCTGCTAGCTAATACACAGGCACCTCCTCAGCAAGGCAGAGAGAAGCAGGGAATTCCTGCTTAGCAGGGAGTGGTGAGGGGAAAGGGGAAGCAGCCCGCAGTCTCTGGAGCTGCAGCCAGGGAGAAGTGGGGAGGGGCCAGCCCTGCTGTGGAGCAGAGAGCCCCACCCAGCCCAGACAGCATGCCAAGATGCTGGGAGAGTCTGGTTTATATTAAACCAGCAAAGGGTCTGGGACACACATTGCATAAACCTGTTTGAGCCAAATCAGTTAAGACTGATACTACATTCAACCAGGTTTATCTCAAACTGGTTGTACCATTTTCAAACTGGTTTATGTGCACTGAACATCTGTTCTGTTACAGGTTTAAACCAGTTTCTGATCACTTAAACAGGTTTATGTATAATGTCTATCCCTAGCCTAGGAACCGTACACAAGGTTTGGCCAACCCCTGCTCTTAAAGAGGACAGTCACTCTACTATACCCTTGTAGGCCTTTACCTTGGTTATCAATTAACATAACTAATGAACAAGATTGTAAATGAGAGCTTACAAGGCTGATGATGATAATCCAGAATAAAGCTGCCTATAGCTCTGATTCTGTATTCCACTGAAATCAGTGAGGAAAAAACACATTTATTTCAATGAGTTCTAGATCTAATTCATTATCTCAGTGTCTCCTTCTTGATATATCAAAAGGACACATGGTTTAATCAATACTTTGGGATTTTGATTAATTATAAAAAATAACTCAAACTAAACATAAACTCCAAGGTTGGCTGCCCTAGAATTCCTCCCTTAGGACCTAGCTTTCCCAGACAATAACTTCCTCTCTAGAAAACTAATTTCACTTCCATTATACATCTCATTTGCTGTCTGAAGAATTTGAGAACCTGCTAACAAGATAGGTAAAAACCTGAATATAGTTACCACTTTTGCATTTTTTTTAAATTATTTTTGGTTTTCAATTATACTGTCCAGTCTGTATTAAAGCAAGGAGAGCATATATATATATTTTTTCTTTGCAAGAATAATAAATAGAGGTGAAACAGAGTAATAATTTTAAAATATTCTGTTCACTTTTGCAAAATTGTCCTCATGAAATATGTCAGGAAGTCTCTTCCTAGATATGTGAGGATTTAATTTTAAACTAATCCCATATTTTCTATCAAAACATTTTCTGGTGAGAGCTAGTTTTTAACAGGATCTAAAAAAAAACCTATTTTCTTCCTGCTGTTTCAGCAGGTCTACAGTATAAAGAAGCATTTCTTGTTGTGGTGCTTGGTTAAACTTCAAAAGACAGAAATTACATGAAAAAAATGATTAAACTGTGACCTTGAATCATAACTGCAAAACCACTGTGTTTTTGCAATCAGGTTTGCATAACTGTGGACTAAAACTTTTTTTTTAGATCTGATGGGTGGGTGGATACATAGATACCCCCATTTCTGAGGAAACAACTTAGGAAAATCAGGGTAATTCATAGAAGAGTGAAAATAACAGAACGACTTTGACATCTTGTGGCAGCAATCCATTGTTGTTTGCACTAGACCATATTCTCCAATAGTCTTGATGTCACTAAAAAACATTTACAGTTGGCTGAGAATGTCTACAATAGATTTGCTTAGCAACACAATAATATAAAAAGTCTCACATTCTTCTCTGAGGCCCTGTCTAGTCTAGGTATGATATTGTTGTTATTGTTATTGTTATTAGATATTGTTATATATTATACAGTATTATTATATCTTATTATATCCCTTTTTCAGAATAGCATGGCTAATGTGCCTGACTTCAGACTGAAATGGCTAACTACCTCTCTATGATATTATGTCAGCTGATGTTACACTTCAAATCCTAGACTAGACTACACCTACTCAAATCAATAGACATGCTGCACATTTAAAGCCACGTTTGCACAGGCTTCCCATAAAATGTCTGTGTGCTCCTCAGAAGCAGCTGAGGATCTCAACATAAGCCTCTTCCACACTTACTTGAAAAACCTTTATCACTTATGTTCTACATGAAGATTCAGAGACACAAAGTTAGCAGTGAAGAACATTTCAAAGCAAGAAAGGACATGTCTCAGGAATGTTTTTTTTTCCTGGAGGCACTGCCTATTGGAGTGCTCCTAAGCCAAGGAAGTCATGAAGATAATGTCTAATCAGTTAACTAATCCTGTTTCATTGAACCAAAATAGGACTGATTAAGCCTACAGAGGATTCTGGGAAACATTCAGAAATAAGATTGTGTAATTTTGTTTTCAATTAATATTATTATTTTCCACCTTTCTATGGAAGTCAAGGTGAAAACTGGCTCTGCACAATATTTTTCACTGGGAGCAAACTGATAGACTTAGGCCTTATCTAAAATTAAAAGTTTTCCCAGATTTGTCTCTACACAGAGCCACCACCTCTAAGCCACTGAAGTGTGTTCACTTCTTCATATTTATGACCCCTATTTGCAGCAGCTGAGATAGTAAAGCTCAAAGTGTTCTCTGGAAGAGCATTGCCCCAGGGTTGCAGCAGCCACCAGCATGATGCATTGTAGAATGCGGGCCAGCAGGACTGTAGGATACTCAGTTCCCCATGGCTCATATTCAGTTCCCCATGGCTCTATCCCCTCCCCAACCCCAGGTACTTACAAGCCTCCAGGGACATATGCAGGGAGCCTGGGACAACTGCTGCCCACTGCTCCCCCTGCACAAGCCACAGGCCAGCTGTGCCAGCCTGCTTGCACTCTGGCACCACTCCCTGCCACCACAGTGCCACACCATTGCCAGGGCCATGCTGTCCAGCCCCACAGGGTGCTACATGCTGCTGCCAGGCCTGCCAGCACCTGGGCCCAGCTGCAGTCAGCTCCTGGCCACATTGGGCCACAGCCAAACCCCAGCAGTCTGCCCAGATCTTGCAAGTGCTGCAGGGCATCACCTTGCTGTATGGCTGCTATCCCATGCCATGCCCCTGTGCTGGGCACTGCAGGCAGCTGCCCAGGCCCATCAGCACCAGGACAGCTGCACAGAGACCCAGACAACTAGCACAGGAACCATGATGGCATCGTCACCAAAGCCACACTCCATCTCCCAGGGCCCCAACTGATTGATGCAGAAGACTGATGACATTGTGGCAGCAACTGGATGCCATCCTTGTGCCCTGGGACCCAGGCCGCAGCCATGCTGTGTACTACAGCACTGGCAGCCTGCCCAAGCCCCTGCTATGGCCTGACTACTTTAGTGATATGTTGCCAGGGGAAGGCGCCTCAGCCCACCAGCAGCCCATCCCATTGAGCACCCCTCCCCCCAGCTTCCTCCAGCAGCTTAGGAAGCCCAGGCCAGCGCCTGCCCCAACAGCTCCATGGGCTCAGCCCCAGCCACAAGGCACATCACTACCAGTCACCAGTAGCACCAGCTTCTCCCTGGGGGGCCTCTTTCTGGGCAGCCATATCCCACACCCCTCTGACCAATGAGTCTGCCTGAAAGTTCATGCCATCACAACCAACTGGGGCATACTGGACCTGCCAGAAATACCAGCCCCACCCACATGGTAATACCAGCCCCACCCACAACCATACTGGGGTGGGGGGGGTGGCTCCATGCCCTGGCCCCTGCCTTGAGCCCTCGCTCCTGGCACCTGGCCGCTGCCCGCTCCCCTCCATCCAGCCTGGCCATGCTCCCCTGGCCCCCAGGTTCCCTCCCCACAGCATGCAAGGAGGCAGGAAACAATGTAAAACTTAAATGAGCAGCCTGTGCCCCCACAGCTAGGTGAGCAGAGGCCTCTACATGCTGAGGAATGTGCCAATGTTGGTGGTGATGTCCTCCTCAGCTGTGGGAGGTAGGGATGTGTAGCAGTCACAGGTAGCTGTCCAGGCAGCAGTGGAGGTTGTGAGGCAGTGTAGCCTTTCCCACCACACCAACAAAACTCAGGGTCCCATGCCAGGTGCACAGGTGTGCCCACGGCACCACAGGCAGCAGCAGCAGCAGCAGGGTGTAGTGGCTCAGGCACCCCTTGGTCTGTGAAAACAGCTCCTCATGCTGTGCCTGGGTCACATGCAGCAGAGGCACAGAGCAGGCATGGGGAGGGTGGGCAGGGCTGGCCCCAGGGTACCTCCCTGGAGAGGCCCCCTGCAGCGAGGGTGGGGGCATGGGCAGCTCCACATCCCAGTTGTCCAGGAGTCCGTCCATCCCCCCTCCCACTCCCCCCACCAAGCCCAGGCACCATGGGCTTCATGGCAGCACAGGAGACACGCTGGGTTGCAGGAGGAGAAGGGAGAAGGAGTGGCTCTGGAGCTGCGGCAGTAGGTTCTTCCAGGAGCCAGGTCTGTTCCAGCCTGGGAACAGGGCAGGGGAGGCAGGATGCCTGAGGCCAGCACTGAACAGCCCACTGCCCCTGAGGAGTAAGTGGGGATGGGGGGGCTCAGCCAGAAGCTGCCTAGGCCCAGGCCTGCCTAGCTGACTTACCATGGTCTCTGGGGACCCATGATCTGAGGCCAGTCAGTGCATGGCCCCCTGGTACAGAGCATCTGATCTCAGAAATGGTGCAAACTCTCACCAATAAATTCTTTCTCATGGATCTGAAGGTGCTTCAGCTGCACGCAGGGGAAAGGCCACACTTGGCCACCAGGATGCACTGTCAGGGTCACCACTGCCCGCAGCCCTGCAGATATGCCAGCTCCACAGGAAGATGACCCAGGACCAGACCCTCCTTCTAGACCAATGGCATCAGAGGACCGGCTTGTGGATGTGCAGGCATGACAGGTGGAGAATGTTGCCCACCAGGCCAGGTGGGGGGCAGAGGATGTCACCTGTAAGGATGTACAGGATGGGTGTGAGGAGGCATGGGACTAAAGTGAGGAGGCACGGGACCAAACAGACTGGGAGTTTAGGGCATAGCTCATGGCCCTAGAGGAATATCACATGGAGGCCCTACAGCAGCAGGCTGCACTCATGGCCAGCGCAATGGAGGCCATGGAGGAGGATCACTGAGTGCTGGACATCATCCTGGCCCTGGGATTCACCTTCATGCCATGCACTGCCCTGCCTCCAACCATAGCTCCTTCTGGCCCCTAGCAACTGCCTGCTGCCACCAGGGTTACCATTCATCCCAGTTTTCCCTGACATACCCTTTTTTTGGGTCCCCCCATCTCTGTCAGGGTGTTGTTAAAAATATCAGCAGATGTCCAGGATTTTGCTCAGCTTCTGCTCTCCTGGCACTTCCCAGCTTGCTTTAGCAAGGAGCTGCTTGAGGCAGTGGAGAGATTCTGACTGGAGGCAGGGGCATCGCATGCATTTGTGCACGGCCCTGGCAGCAGCAGGCAGGTAAGTATGTGAGGACCAGGGGCTGGAAGACCAGAGCTGGGAACTATCAGAGGTGTCCACATGTGTGCATGCTATAAAGAAGCTTTCTCCACCTCTTCAGAGACTATGAAGGAAAACCTGGAAAACTTATCAGGCCCACAAGAAATAGCACAGATGACAGGAATGCCACCATTGCCAGAACACCGCTTTATTAGCCACCAGTCCTTCCAGACTGGCGTTCCCCACAGCCAATGTACTATTTCCAATGGAGTACCCACACCAGAAACGGAAGAATGTGGACCAGACAAGCAGAAAGGGGTCCCTAGTCTAGCCTGAAGCCCCAGCTGTGAGAGCCCTGGGGACAGGGAGAGGACTGAATTTCAGTCTGAGAGCTCAGAGGAGCTGTGACTATGGAGGACACTCTTGTCAGCATTCTCTGACAGCTGCTACAAGAGCGCTGAGAAGAATGAAGCAGCCTCAAGCCACTCAGCATGAAAGAAGTTTGTTTCTTTTTGTCCTTCTACATTTGAGCTGATATTATATAATGGAGAGAACTGTAACTGACTGATTTGGGACATTATCGAGGAAGGGGGAGGAACCCTGAGCAGTATAAATAAGATTGAACTGCTGGGAAGGCAAGGACATTCTCTGCCTTTGGTTATTTCATTTCATTTTTTTTTTCTTTTTCCTTTGATTTAAGTTGTTCCTACCTGTGAGGCTGTGTCCAGACAAGGATTGAACTCAGACTTGGGGAAAGGACCTATACCAGTGATAAAGAAAGTACATAGTGCCCTGGGACTTTGGGAGTTCCAAATACTTACCTGGGCTATGCTGTTCTTTGGTTGCCACAGTTTCCTTTTGTTTTAGTTGTGACCAGATATTCCTCTAAGTCCACTCCGTCTTCTTCATCTGGAACTGATGCTGAAGGGATTCTAAGCCTAAAACAAAAAAAACAAACAGAAGAGAGGTTAGAACATCCATCAGACAACTGATAGACTTCTTGCGATATCTTAACATCTGGTGGTGTTTGGCTGGGGTATAAGGGGAGGTTGGAGCCCCAAGGAGGAGCAGGTCTAATGTCCTTGAAGTGAACTCACAGCAAGGAGAACACCTCCAGATACTTATTGATTACACCATAGATTTCATAGATTTCATAGATGATAGGGCTGGAAGGGACCTTGAAGATCAAGTCCAGCCCTCTGCTCCAGGGGCAGGAAGTCAGCTAGGGTCAGAGGATCCCAGCAAGATAAGCATCCAAAGTGTTTCTTGAATGAGTCCAGAGTAGGTGCCTGCACCACTTCTGGAGGGAGACTATTCCAGGTCTTGGGGGCTCAGACAGGAAAGACATTTTTTCTTACGTCCAGCCTAAAATGGTCTTGGAGGAGTTTATGACCATTGGTCCTTGTTTTTCCTTGGGGCGCTCTGGTGAACATATGTGCTCCCAGATCCTGATGTACAGCCTTTATGTACTTATAAGCAGCCACCAGGTCCCACCTGAGCCTGTGCTTTTCCAGGCTGAAGAGTCCCATGGCTCTCAGCTTCTCTTCATAAGGCCTATCCTCTTGCTCTCTGATCATGGTCATGGCTCTCCTCTGGACTCTCTCAAGCTTCTCGACATCCTTCTTGAATTGTGGAGCCCAGAACTGGATGCAGTACTCCAGCTGCAGCCTCACCAAGGCTGAGTACAGCAGGAGGATGACATCCTGAGATTTACTTGAGAAGCATCTATGGATGCAGCCAGAGTTTTGTTTGGTTTACCAGCTGCAACATCACATTGGTGGCTCATGTTAATCTTGTGGTCAGTCATGACCCCCTACTCTCTTTCAGCAGTGGTGCTAGCAAGCGTAGCACTGCTGAGTCTATATGTACACTGTGGGGGGGTTTTCCCCGAGGTGGAATATCTTACATTTATCAGTACTGAACGTCATCAGGTTTGTATCCGCCCACTTTCTAAGTTTATCCAAGTCAGCCTGGATCACTAGCCTGTCCTCAGGAGTGGACGCTATGCGCCAAAGCTTAGTGTCATTGGCGAACTTAGCCAGTGTGCTTCTGACACCAATGTCCACATTATTGATAAAGATGTTAAAGAGAACTGGTCCAAGGACAGAGCCTTGGGGGATGCCACTGGCCACGGAGCACCATAATGATTCGCTTCTATCTACCACTACTTTCTAAGTCTGACCTCGAGCCAATATCCCGGCTATCAGACTGTGGCATAGCTGAGGCCACAGTTGGCCAATTTTTCCATGAGAAGGTCATGGGGCACCAGATCAAAGGATGTTTTAAAGTCCAGATATATGCTGTCAATCTCTTCTCCTTTGTCCAGGTGATATGTCACCTGGTCATTGAAGATGAGATTAGTCAGGCAAGACCTACCCACGACAAAGCCATGCTGGCTGCTCCTCAGGTTGTTGTCCTCAGCCAGCTTATCCAGAAGGGTCTCCTTGATAATTTTCCCCAGAATCTTACCAGGGATTGAGGTCAAGCTGATTGGCCTGTAACTCCCGGGATCTACTTTCTGCCCTTTCTTGAAGATGGGTACCACACTGGCCTTCTTCCAGTCTTCAGGTATTTCACCAGAGCACCATGAGTTTTTGAATATTTTTGCCAGTGGTTGGGCTATGACACCTGCCAGCTCCTTGAGTTCTCTAGGGCATGGGCAGCAGGGCTGGTGGGGGGCAGGAGGCTGTGAGTCAGGAGTGAGGGGTACTGGCAGGGCTGCAGGGGCAGGGGCTGCAGATCAGAAGTGAGGGGCACCGGCAAGTTTGGGGGACTGTGGTTTGGGAGTGAGGGGCAGGGCATGGGCGTATCATTCCCCCCCCCCCCCCCCCCCACAGGTGTTCTCTTTTTTGAAACTGGAAATATGGTAACCCTGGTGGAGGAGCTCTGTTGCTGGAGAGGGAGTGGGGAAGGGTGCGTTGTTTGTGTGAGAGCAGTAAAGTGTTTTTCTGGTAACTGTCTGCAGCGAGCATGGTGCTGGGGGTGGAGTGGGAAAGAAATCCATGGGCAACTGTCCAGGCAGGCTACAGAGGGGAGTGCAGGTGGAGGTGGTCAGCCAGTGTTTCCCACATCCAGTGTCCTGGTCCCCAATGGTGGGTGTGCAGTCCTAATTGTAGACATGTAGATGTGTCCCCTGTCTCCAAAACTAAACCACTTAAAGAAACAGTTCCAATATCACCTCTTCTTTCGGATGACTCTGAAACTCATGCTAAGCTGGTGCCTACTTACAAAAGTTAAAATAGAAAATAATGATGCTAACTGTATATTGCAAGAAGATGCAAGTTCATGACTAGGCCATCTGAGAAGAAAAAATGAGGTATCCCTTCTAGCTTATCTTACTATATTCATGATGATTTCAGGCAGGCTCCTAGCTGTATGATATAAAACTATGTGAAATGTCTCTCCTTGATTAATTAGTATGGTAAATATTTCTTTTGCAATTAACTCATGTTTATTTGCAGGAAGAGACATTCCTCATATGGAATAGGTGTCTCCTCCTGATTTATTTTTGTTTTGCTTTTTCCTCCTGATTTACCTTGCTTTGCCTAGTGGTTCCCTTGATCTTCCAAGGACACTTGGGTTTTTCCTAGCTGTTAATCAGCTTCTTGATATGTTCCAAACGTAGTAGAAATAGATAGTCTCTTGTCACTGAGGAAGGTAATTCATTCAAATTGGAACTTTCTGATAACCAATAATGAGTAGTTTGGTTAACAGGATTTTCCTGTCAATCACTGCTTGGGATTCTCTCTTGATTTATACAACTAAAAGAATGCTTTGAAGATGTTGGACTAAGGGTATAAGAAAGAAGTGAAACAGCTAACAGGACGTGCTTCAAGAATAAGGAATCTCTCTGACACCAACTACTGCTGCTCCTTACTCAAGAAGCTAAAGAGAAACCAACTACCTTTTCATCACCTGTTTGGTGAGAAAGCATTACCTTATAGCTAATTACTTGCCTTTGGTTTGGGCTCATTTGACTTTGAATACTTGTAGTAAATAAGCCTAAATCCCTTACGGTAGTCTGGAATCCAAGGTTTTTATTTGCTAACACCTTCCCAGCCAAAATTTAGCAATAACAACATTTAACAACCATGATCTTTATAACATACATTTCCAAATACTTATTAACTGAACGTATTAA